GATACATAACATGTCAATCTTATGATACTATAGTTTTATAATAATATTTTATAATTATATAATACTTATAAAATTATTTAATTTGAGATACTTTTCTTCCCTAAAAATATTTTTAAAAAATAAAAGTGTATGAAAGTGAGGAACATGGAGGAACTTTAAAATAACATATTTTATTTATAAGACTCTTGGTCTTGTAATCTTTTATTTATAAATGAATTATAAAAGTAAATTACAATACAATTTAACATATAAATTTACTAAAATATATTTAACAAAACTCTTCTTATGTTATTTCATTAATGTTATTTTAGTAATTTCATTTCACTAACACATTTTAATAATATTCTTAGATTTGAAAAACATAAAACTCCAAAAAATAATATAATATTTAGAAAAATTAAAAAATGTACTTATTTCATTATAATATTATTGCTACGACACAAATATGATCTAGTTTTAAGGAGTATTTTAAAATACCTAAATAAATTTAACTTTATTCTTAAAATTTTCAAGTAAGCAAAATATTTACATACAACCCTCTTACATTTCCACCCCTCTCCAAATAATATTTACTATAGAAAATAAAGTAAGCAATCACACGGTCTCTTGTGAAAATAATCAAAGTTAAAAGGCTAAAAGGGAGATTTTACAAGTGAAGGAGATCAATACCATTGGACAGAAGTTGGGGCATGAAAAATAAGGGTTTAAACGCTTCTTTAAGATATATAAAACCCAGATCAACTGTCTTTCTCCACAAAGTGAGGCTGGCTCCACCGTCGTTTGAGGTGATCGTCGTCTATATTCTCTCTTCCCCTGCAACTTAGCTGTCGACTGGTCTTACTCTGTCTTCTGCATCTTCAATTTGTAAGCAGTTTTCTCTTAACCAGCGTAAATCAATCAAGAACAAGAGAGTTAACATTTCATATTGGAATTGAATTACATAGATTTCTCATCAATTGAGAGTTACCTTCTAAAAGCCCTAACTTTTTCTCTTCCTCCTTCTTGAACCCAGAATCCATAGAGAGAGGAACTCTCATTCTTCACTCTCAAACTTGTTTTTCCACATGGTATTGGAGTGCAACAGGCAGCTGCATCCGCGCCACATCGGCCGCAACCACCGTGAGAACCTCGTTTCCAAGCTCATGAAAGATGTCGAGGGCACTTGCAGGTTTTTGTCTTTTTATTTTTATTTTATTTTATTCTAGTTCTCAATTTCATTTGTTTGATTATTTGAGAGATCAATGCTAGTGAATTTGCTTAAAATTCTCTGCATCTCACCGTCAATCCTTTCATTGTGACAACAACCAGTGTTTATGGTGTAAATTGTTGAATTAATTTATATTTTCTATTCATAATGTATGTCACTGTACATATATATATACACAAAAGAACTATATCAGAATTATAACTTAACTAACCTTGTGCCTACAGTCTAGGAGAGTTATAACTGTACACAAATATGCTCCTGATTCCGAGAGATTTCTACCAGAAACTGTTTATACCAGATACTTTATAACAGATATTGTTTACTCTCCCCCTCAAGCTGGTGCATGAAGGTCATGAATGCCCACCTTGTCCTGCATCAAATAAAAACTGTCCTTGCCCAATGCCTTTGTGAAAATATCAACTGGTTGATGAGAGGAAGAGATTGGTAATGTGCAGAGACAATACCAGCTTGAAATTTCTCACGCACCAATTGACAATCAATTTCCAAATGTTTTGTCCTTTCATGAAAGACAGGATTGGCAACAATGTGGCGAGCTGCCTAATTATCATAGTAAAGTGGTGTGGAGCGAGATTGGCGAATACCAAAATTTTGTAATAAGTTGTGAAGCCAAATGACCTCTTTAGTGGTAGAAGCCATAGCCCTATATGAGTGCCGTGGGTCATCATGTATTGAGAAAAATTGTCATCTCTATGAGGATCCACTATTGCTTTGAAATTTTCCATGTATGGAACAGGCAAAGGACCGAAAAAGTCATTGTCGAAGAGGTCCAGGATTCGTGACTTGGGAAAAAATGGACGTTCTTTGGTGCTAACTACAAAACCATGGAATTTATTTGACCTTAAAACCAGCAATCTTAGATTTGCTATCTTGTTGTCTCCAAAGTTTATAACCTCTAGCAAGCTACAATTCATCAAAGATCTTGGCAACAAGCCTTCCATTTTATTTCCATACACGTTGAGACTTTGCAATCCATAACCCTCTGGAAAGCTAAATGGTATATCTCCATCAAAGTTATTGGCATGCAAACTCAACACGAAAAGACTTTTGCTCATCAACATTTGGAGATGGTTTGGAATCTTCCCACTTAAATTGTTAACAGAAGGGTCAAGAACTTGAGGATCATTTGAATGTCTTAGGAAATTGGGGAATTAACTAAAGTTACAAGAAGACAAAATCAAATGTTTTAGTTTGGGGAATGTGAAGTCAGCATCAAAATTGATTCTCAAAGACAAATTGTTGTTTGAAAGATCAAATTATTGTGTGCCAAATCCACGATTGTCAATGATTTCTGATGGAATTGATTTATTTGATCTTGAAGAAAGTTGCTGATGTCTCGCCTCAAAATTAATACCCTTTGGCTAAGCGGTTGTTGTAGCGTAGCATTAGGTGTCGAATCCACAGGGAAGCTATATTAAATCAACAAAAAGAGTTGTCACAATGAGAAATTAAATTAAAAGATGAATTCTAAAATTAAGAATAAAAATATTTAAATAAAAGATGATAATTATAAAAGATTTCAAACAATATTATGATGAACAAGACTTCAAGGTTCACTTAATTGATTTGTTTAACTGTTATAAATTTTGATTCCTATTTATTACTCAATTGCATGTTTCACATCCCAAACAAACAATCGGAAGATTTAACTATGAAGACCAATAATAATAACTAATGTATTTATTTTGAGAGAAATTAATTTCAATGAAAAGCAAACAAATTTATCATTACGAGTTATCCGAGAGCGACAATATATCTAATCGACAATACTGCAGTAAAGGATCAACCCGCAAAACAAATCTACCAATCAATTATATTCTAACAAATCACACATAAAAAGAGCATGACTAATCTTATATGAAGTTTGATAAATATAATTTTCAGGGTTTTCAGATCTGAAAATAATTAACAATCTCTCAAAAATAAAATTAAACAATAAAATCTATGAAGGAATCAAAATAAAATAACAAGTCAAACTCTTCAATCAAAATCCTCCCTAGTCTTGTTAAAAGTTTAGTTGCTCTTTAACATAATTTTCTAGCCTTGAAGAAGAGAATAGAAGTCTGGTAGCAGCCTCTCCAGCCCCTTGGAACTCCCTCTAAAATAACTTAGATGGGTATTTATAGAATCCTAAAAACCCTAATTAGAATGGAGGTCGGGCTGGGCTGAATTACTGCGCAAGGGGTCGACACTCTTTACGAGGTGCCGGCACTTTGAGTGGAGCGTCAACTGCATCCTCCGTGTCGGGTTTTTGGCCTTTTGTGCAATGTTGCTTAATGGCAGAATAACAGTCTTGGTCCCTGACTCTTGAGCCTTTAAACTTCTGATTTATCCTTAGATCCTCATCTTTTCAGCTCTTTGCATTTAAGTCCTTTTTCTTCTAATTCTCTCCATTTAACATCAACCTTCAATCACCATAAAATTTGCACAACATGAATAAATGAACACTTATGAAATTATCTATAGAAAAATAAAACTCTTAAACCCATAATTCCACAAATGTCAATGGTTAAGTACACTTTAAATATACATTTTCATACTTTCATCAGTTGCAATTGAGAATCAAGACCTATAACAAAGGTATACTGAAAACTCAAGGTGACATTGATTCATTAAGCGAGTTATGAGATAAGTCTAGGTGGGATAGTATTGAAAACGTACTCCCTTGAAAAGGAATGGGACCAAAAAGCTGATTATTTGAAAGATCAAAAAGGTTAAGTTGCATGACGTTTGTAAGTCATGATGGGATTTCACTCCAAAAATTGTTATGTTGGAAGTTTACAAGAGTAAGCTTAGACAACTTCCCTATTGAAGCTGGAATGGAACATTTCAAGTTGTAACTAAAGAGAACTAAAGAACGTTATCTCCTATTGACTTGGGAAATTCCCTCCCCCCACAATCCTTGCGGTTTATTTCATATGGGAGGAAAAAAATGGAAGAGTTTTAAAAAATGAGGGTAAAGTTACAATTCAGCACCTAGTTTCAGTTAGTCTCTTAGCTACTTAGTTGAGTTACATTAATAATTTGTCGTTAATTTTCTGTAAACCTGAAAATGCACAGGTGAAAGCCTTGTGTATAGCCTCATATGGGGAATTTTTTATTAATGGAGTAAGCTTACCATTCTCTTAGAAAAGTGTTTTAGGACTCATCCACCGGTCTAGTTAAATAACCAAACAAGAAAAGAAATCATAGAATACACAAATCAAAACCAACTTGAAAAAGAGTGATGATGTGAATATTGTACTAAGCACACAGAAAGAAGTCTACCGGGCAGATCATGCTAGAGGACAGGTTCAAATGCAAAATATTAGTTTAAATATAAAACAAGAATGCAAAAGCTGCAATTGGCAATTAGGACTTTAAAATTGAAGAAACTATGAGGTCCATGAAAAGTGAACAAGTTAAGTTGAACAAATTAGAGAAAGAAACTCAAATGGATAAATAGCGAAAACAAAGAGTACAAAATCATTGAACTACACAAGTGAGGAAGCTGTAGGTTCATTGACTTCTTTGCACCAAATGTCATAAATCTGACACCCAATCCCCTAAGCAGCCCTCCTCCCTCCGTGGATTGCAATAAAAATTATTCAAATTAAGTGATTGAAATCAAAACCGTGTCATAAATTAGTCAGCATTACTGAAAACTGTATTATTTGTCCATCTATGATACTAGCAGGAACACCCCACCTTGCGGGGAGGTGGTTACTTTCATGCTCACTTGGACCTCATTAAAAGCAAAACATAATCTAACTTTCGCAGTTGTAGCTGTAGTTAAACATTCAAGTCATGAACAACACAAAATTGTATTGTATTACTATGTTTTAGTTTTTAATACATGCAATGAAAGTTAAGCTGAAAGTCCAGAGAACACTTTTAAGAGGTCTAAAAATTGTTGTTCAAAATTTACCAAAAAAAAAAAAATTGTTGTTCAAAGAAATGGTGAATCTTTGACAACCCATCTCAAAGATCAGATGATTACCAAACAAAGAAATGGTGAATCTTTGACAACCCATCTCAAAGATCA